AGTTCAACAACACGTTCAGTTTGAAAGTAAAGTTGCAAGTCTCAGTTTTAATTAGACTTTACTCTTCATGTTGACAGATGACCCCACTTTAGTCTTTTGTGGCGAGGTGTGGAAGTGGTTTCATCTTCCTGTGGAGAGTTCTGATTACTGAACTGTAACCAGGTGAGAGGTGATGCCTCAGACCTCCACCTCTGCTGAGTGATGGTCTTTCCAGTTGGACATAGATCTCACCTGTTCACAATTCAGTCCTAAGACCTCTCCCCAGGAAGATGAAACCACTTTCACACCTCACCACAAAAGACCCTAACGAACCCCTTAGCGGTAGGCGAGTACTAACGACTCGCATAACGAGGGGGAGGAGCAACAAACCCCCAATTGAAGCCAAGTGTCAATGGCTCCTTAAGGATATCAATATCTGAAACACCCAACTAGTCAGTCAGAACTGATGAAGCCTCTTGGATGAGCGGTGAAGTGAAACGATTAAACTATGAGAACAACCATGACCTGGATGACTGAGGATCTTCACAGACCTGCTGTCTCTAATGACATCATGAGTAGTTTCACACTTTTATTAGTCGGTTTTCCCCACATTTTAAGTGTTGCTACAGTCACATTAGTAATGAAGTATTTTTACACTATAGTCTGGGTCTCTGCATTATGAGAACTTTTATACGCTGACATGATGCTGAATTTGTGGCTACAACACCACTGCATGGCTTCTTTCATCTGTCAAGGCGAGGACCCCAAATACACAACACATTTACATCGAGCGGGCTGGCATTACAGACTTTTTCTTACATCAGGAAACTGTACAGCGCAGTGGTGCTGAGGTGGTCTGTGGTTTTGTGAAATAGAGCTCCACACTGAAGGAGTGGCGCAAAGTAAAACCCAAAGCTGTTCAACACAGTTTACCAGCCAGACAGATAATAAATGAGACAATAAAATGTTTCACAAATTCAAAATATAACAATTAAGGAGTGTTTTTTTCTGACTGATAACAAATATAAGACATTTGAAGACAACACAGGAGAGTAAACCATCCATCCA